AGAGAGAGAGAGAGAGAGAGAGAGAGAGAGAGAGAGAGAGAGAGAGAATGCTTCATCTGCATTGTAATGGCTGGCAAAGCATCAATTCACCTCTTTTGATAGACTGACGAGCACTGAATGCACCTTTCAGAAGCCATCTCGTAAGCCATATGATTATGTAGAGACTGAGCATGACAATAGCAACGGCCTGAAAACAGAGAGTGGAGGGCATACGACATTTGCATGGAATTGAAGGTTTTATCCCTTTTGATTGATCCGGAAGCCAAAAGGCATAATTTTGGTGTAATGGCTGTGTGGGAAGTGGAAAAAGAGGACAGGCTGTGAGCATTGGAGAGAGAATTTGGGACGGGTTAGGGTGTGTGTGTGTGTGTGTGTGTGTGTGTGTGTCTGTCTGTCCACGCTGTACCTAAATTAAAGGCTTTTGATTGGCTCTGACACGTTTGCCCTACCACCATTAAAAGTGTGCTCTGCTCATCATCAAACCGCCACAATCACAATGACGCGCAGGCTGCAGTCTGAAGTGAGCGACTTCAACTAACCTCTTACCTCCTAAATTGCCTTTCGTGTTATATTAAAGCAATGTGGAATGGGTGTCACGTTGGCAGTTCCACCGCCCATACAGCGGGCGATGAGAAGCGGGCGATGGGGGACAGTTTTGGTTTACTACTTACATCCCTCCTCCCTCTCCTCGTTCCTTCCTGTGTTCCGTTTACGCCCAGTCATTATTGCAGATAATCAGTTTAATTAGGGCCGTGAAGCTGACGTGTTGATGAGGATGGAGAGGTGCTGGATGATTTCCCCCCCCCTCCCCTGGGCACTATTGATGGCTCGCCATCTCCCACACCCCGCTAATAGGGGACCAGATAGACAGCTGATGCACACTCTGGCACCTCCACTGTGTGTTTGTGTCTGTTTACACTGGCTTATGTGTCTGTATGCATATGTAATCTGTTTGTGTATGAAGAGAACAACTCACACTCAGTCTCCTTTGCTAGCCTTTGCTCCACAGCTTCTAAAAGGATTTTCTCAGCAGTCTCTGACACATTTCAAACTAAAGAACATCACGATTGACGAGAGTGCAGACATCCTTTTATTCGTAATGACGGATATAGCTCCCGTAGTGGATTTTCTGCCCATATGATTTGATCAGTTTGGATGACTAGCACAGCTCCAGTCTGCAGTCCGAGTGCACAGCGCTCTGAGAGCAGAGGCAGGTAGGCCTGCTGCATACAGACTTGCAGCGAGAGCACACAGGGAGCAAGATGCCTGAATATTTTATATCAGTTTAGAATTCGATTTCATCACAATTCGATTGGTTAAAGTGATAGTACCTTTAGAGGAGTCGCTCATAACACAATACATACCAATGGCTGTAGTCCCGCATCCCGCCTTGAACCAGGCGCACACTCGCTGTATGAGTTTGGAAGCTGCTGCCTTCCTGCAACCCTGACCGTGCTTATTTATTGATGTTCCCTTCCCATGCAGAGACTCTCTCTATCTGACCACTGCGATTCTGTTGGTATGATTTGACTCCATGTAGACTCCATTACCATGGAAATCCAAGTGATAAAGACATCTCCCGCCCTTTGTCATCCCCGGCTTTGCGCTGTCATTTCCCGTGAAAATATTCCCTTCTCTATTTGCAATGGTAAAATTCTGCCAGGCCTCTGCGGTGTGTATCACTTGATAAATTAATAAAAACGCTGATCTGTATTTATCTCCTCCTCACCCTCTTTTCCATCTTTGTTGTTCATCATTCTGTTTGATTTTATTATCTCTGCCTGTAGCTGTCTCCATTGCTGTGCATGTGTGTCTGGAGCATAAGAGGTTCTGCTGCAGTACTCATTACAAAGGCAAAAAAAAAAGGAACGTTGTGTTCTATGCAGAGACTGCAAGCCTGTACCGAGCTGTGTGTTGTTGTGTCTGCATGTATGTGTCTACTCGGAGAAGACGCGTCGTTGTCCCTTCGGTCCTCCTGTCTGTCTCAGCACCAATTTCTCTCTCTCTTTCTCTTTCCAGTAGAGAAGCAAAGCATGAGATCCCGTCTCTACAGAGTGTGCCATGGGGCCACTTTTTGTTTATTATTATTAGTTTAAGTGACAGTAAGGAACAGCAGCTGTGTGACTGTTGGGGGAAGGAAATGCTTAATAATTGGGAAATTAAATGCTTGAAGAGGCCGTTTTGCGACGAGCCGCCTCCAGCTAATTTCGTCTCTTATTCAGCTTCCTGTCTGCTTTTCTCCCCAAGTCCTGCGATCTCCTCGGCTCAGCTCGGCACCAGCAGCAGCCCATTAATGACACCAGATTAGAAGATCAAATCAGCCCTAAACCCTGTTAACACAACTTTCAGGCTCTGAAGGAGAGATTCTGCAAGGGCCCTACATCACCAATTAAATAGAAATTAAAGATCGTCAGGGGCCCTGGCTCTTTTTTTTTTTTTTTTCCGAGGTTGTGTCTGATGTGCACTGAAGGCCAGAGATCATGTTTTCTGAATTTACTTCTTGACCTCTTGATCTGTTTTAAGTGTGCTGCAGATTATTCTGGAAAATGCTGTTGTAGTGAGTGTCAAACATACAATTATGTCAAGTTGCTGAAATGACATTCGCGTACGTTTGGTGCGGTTAAAAAACAAATACGTTGGTGGAGATGTGTATGAAGGCATAGAGTAGCGATAGTTCACGTGATGTGAATAAAGTGAGTTCTAACCTAAAGTACAGCATTTGTGAAGAGGAGTTTGGTAAGACAGGGATTTGTTGTACCTTTTAAATGTTTAAATGTTTAAATGTTTAAATATTGTTTTCTACGCTGACCTTGCCTGGGTGTGTTAAATCAGATGAGGAGGCTTGTATATATGTGTGTACATGCCCACACACACGTTTGGAGCATGGGTTGTTATAGTTAACGAAAAACTTAGTTTTTTTAAAAATATTGTTGGTAAACTGAAACAAAATAAAAGAATAGCCTTTGAGAATAACTAAACTGAAACAATATTGCATGGTTAAAAAACAAATATGAATATTTTTTAGCTATAGCATACTATATAATATACCACTGCGGGAAAAAAAGGAGACTGGATCAATGCCTGTCAACTCTTGTGACATTGAACCACAGAAATTGAACAGACATGGCAAGAGATGGCATTTATGGCAAAGCCAAATAATGTTGTTGTGTTGTTTATCTCTTCCCTTGGAAACAGGTAAGAGTCTGCCACTGGGCTGAGGTAATTCTCCTGCTCTTTAACGAAAAAAATATTTAATTCAGACTTCTCTTGCCAGCAGTCGAGGTGCCGTATCTGCCTGCTAGTCACTAAAGGAGCAGAGAACTAAAGAATGAATGACTCGTGATGACGGGCTTTTTTTTGAATGATAGCGTATTATGTGTCTTCAATGTCTTATCGGTGAATCAAAGCTGGAGTGGCATGAGGCCGGTGGCTGACACACAGACACAGCTTTGGCAGGAGTTTGTTCTTAAAGCCCAGAGGATTAGTACTGGTCTGCGTGGGCTGAATGGAGCCGGACCTACTGATAGACTAATTAGAGGTTAGCCTGCCTCAATTTTACCCCTATTAGGAATGCAGCACTTTGTATGGTGAACTGCTATTGCAGCCGTTAAGGTGCTGACTTTTGTTCTGCAGACTTTGTGCAGAACAGTGAAAATGTGAACAAAAGAGCAGGCAGAAAAAGGTTACCTTGATGTTTATATCTTATAAATCCAGAGACTGGCCACCCTTGTCGGAGGAATACACTCTCTGTATAACTCCTGTACTTAAATACTTTTGTGCTCTGGTTACCTCCTCATGATACACAGTAGATGTGCAATTAAAAACAGGTATACACATATTAGTACACATGCATATAGAAGCAGCCCTTCATGTATACATACGTAGAGATATGCATGTTCATATTATGTATGCACACAGACACACAAGCGCAGCATAGTACATACATTTAGGTACGAGGCAAACAATATAAATTAACTAGAGATAATACATACATACATGGGCAGGCTGGCCATCTGGAAGACTACCGAACGGCCGAACCGTGCCAGGCCCGAACCGTGCCAGGCCGAACCGGCTTGTGGTCATAGGGTTTTTATTTTCCAACTGCTCGGCCGCAGCGTGGGCCAGAGCGCAAAGCACAACGCTGCCTGTCAGACTCATCCAATACTTTAAATATCGAGGGAGAATACGACATGTCCCTCCCAATTTGAACTGATCCTCCTTTAAGGCTCAGTCATTTTCATTGTGCTCCAGCTCACCATGTCTGGCCATCTTGTTTTAATTCAGTCCATAGGGTGACATGCTTAGACAAACTGAGGAGGCAGGTGTTAGCCAAACATCCTTAGGTGTCTTGAAGGTCTTCAGCATCATCAGATTGTCTTTATACCACAAAAACTGTGTATGTTTTAAACATACCGCCAAAAAGTGTTTGGCTAGCGCACTCCGGGCAGTCGCATAAGAGGCCTCTCCATCTCAGTCCCAGTATGTCCCTGCATACAAACATGATACAAAATACAACAGCAGCTGTCAACAACTCTCAACGGGATGAGACAAATTCAGCCAAATTCTTTAATTAGGTTTAAGTGCAGTAATTGCCCTTACTTGTCTGGACACTTAGTTTAGTTTTTATATAAATACAATACTTTAAGACAGTCTATGACTTTCCAAAATGTCCTTTTTGCATTGCAGCTCTGTTTTGGGCTTCACTGATACAAACTTTATAATCTTTATACGTGTCATGTGTGTGTGTCGTTGTGTGTGTGTGCAGGTCTGGACTTCCATGAGGACCTGCATCGCATTGGAGCAAAGGAAGGTCTGAAAGGCCGCAAACTTCAGAAGGCCATGGAGAGCTACGCGTGGAACATCACTGTCCTCAAGGTGAGATGGACTGAGCACAACAAATACCCGTATAGCTGTACTATATACTATATACCTCCAGTTTGAGTCAAGTATCGGCTAATACCTTTGATTGATGTCAACATGTGAGATTATTTTGGAGACTGTAATCAGATGGATAAGCAATCCCAGATTCTGTTGCTGAGATTAAACTACATGGTGTCTTAAGAAAGCCCTCTGGGCTAATTGCATTTGCCTCCTCTCTAATCCCTTCTAATCTCCTAATTAATTACTGTTGATTCCAAACACTGTTTTATTTATTTGCTCATGCAACTATCTTGACAAGACACGATAGGATTGTTCACATTTATTCATAGACACATGCACACCCGGCACTATTATTCCTCATAAGCGCACATTGGCTCCCTTGGACATGCCCCAAAGATGATGCTCAGCAGAATGCGTTGTTGTCTCCACCTGCGCCATGGCACGCTGAGATATGGTTGCCCAACGCCCTCATTCTCATTGCTTTTTTTACGAGGCTGTGATGGTAATACCAGCACTGATACAACACCACATGCTGCTCAGCACAGTGGGCCTGTATTGCTAAGCAAGGACAGAGCGGCCAGGATATTTTTATCTCCTCTCATCACCCTGAAATCATTTAGTGTTGAGTGAAGAAGCTCCCTTGGCTGAGCCTTTTTGCTTGAGTGTCAGGTTAGGTCAATGTTTGATTGCGTGATTCTTGTTTGCCTTTTGCACGTCTGCCTTCTCAGAAAGGAGGATAGCAAAGATTACTAGTTGTAAGTAAATATTAAGTCTCATTAACGATAAATCGTTCATCAGATAACTGATTATTAGTTTAGTTTATGAAATGTCAGAAAATAGTCCTCAGAAATGAATGTGACAGCTTTAGATTGTTTGTTTTCAATCGTAATAGATTTTTTTCACTTTAGTATAAAATGGTTAATAATAAAAGCAGCACATTTAGGACACAGGAAAAAGCTTTGTCGATAAATAACCTCAAGGATCAATGGATTATCAAATCAGTTTCTGCTACATTTTGACTCATTGATTAACCGACTAAGAATTTCAGCAGCAGTGAAGGTGATGGCTATAGCAGCAATAAATCAGTGCTAAATGTATGCGTTCTTGTTTTTCTTCTTGCACTAATACAGCAGCCGTATGTGCAACAGCAAGATTTATCTTAATTAAGCGTCATCGCACTCTCTAGAATTGGGGAAACTCATGTGCTTAAATAGCATAACAGGTTGACACCCAAACATAATCCCTTTCTCACCCGCACTCCCTCCATCCACCCTAAACTCCTCCCATCCCTGCCTCGTCTCTCCAAACACACACATCTCTCCGTCGTCCTTCCCTAGTCCTCTAATTTCTTCCATGAGCCTCATTCTCAACGTGAAGGCATCTTGGTGTGCACACGTACTCCTCCTCCTCCTCCCTCTCCCCCCCTTCCTCCTCCCATTCTGCAGTTGTAAGCTGTGTCTCATACTGAACATTTGGTGAGAGCCTGGTGCATGTTTGCCAAGGCTGGCAGCCATGCGCAGCTATTTCACCTGTCATCCACTCCAGATCCTCAGCAGCAGTGGCCGATTTTTGGTATGAAAATGTTAGTGGGGCCACACAATATTCATAGAAGACGATTTGATGATGCAATCCAAACACACCACAGATATATCACATTGAACCATATACTTTCACAACTGTGTGCGAGTAAGTGAGAGGAGACACTGCGATTGCTGTGACCAATGTATCACCAACAGCAGAGATGACACAATTCCAGCCGAACAATGTCATCTAAAAAACACACTGACAATGGCCAAAGATCTCTCAACATCAAATAGCCTACTCATGACCAGCGACGAAAAGTGCATTTTGTCATCTGTTGAGCAACCTCATCCTTTTAAACACTGTACATCCGAAAGTTTGTTTTGAAAAATGGCTGAATGCCCTTAATATAGGGTTGAGCATCGTAATGGTGCGTTAGCCTGGAGTCTCAAATATGCATCGTAAAAGGTCTATCCAGCCGGCAGATTCGTCATGTCCACGCAAGGCAATTTTGCCCTTTCCACAAAGTTTTATATAGGTTCTAATTCTGCTAAGAACATATACCCGTTTTCTTTGGTCTGACATTGTTGTATTGTTCAGTGCCACGTCTGTACGCACCGTCAAGCTGAGCGGCAACGTTCGTTGTTCCCAGTAAGACTAACTTGATGGCATTATCCACATGCGATGAACAGCTCTGGTGTTTTTACCAGCCTTTCTGAAAGATGTTTCAAATCTTTAAATCCACCTGCTGACAGTTTCCGCTCCGATAAGAAGACATGGAAAGCAGAACAGGGCTTTTGTTTATATATGTTAACCAAGTTTTCCTTTTGAACCACTCGTGGGGGAATTATTCTTTTAGTCTTTTCCTTCTTTAGATATGATTAATTCATCTGGTCGATGAACCCAAATGTTTTATTTCCAGTTTTTGCTCCAGTAGTAAAGCGCTAAATCGTACTGTTAAATAATCCACACGAGTCATCACGACTGTAGTTACGGTAACGCAAGTACAGTCGCAGTCCCTCTTTAGCTAGCTAGCAAGACGTGTACACCCTTTGCATCATTAAAATCAACCAATGGGATGCTTGTAGGGGCCCCTGGCCATCAGGCCCCACTCAAGATCTGAAAGTTCATGTTGAACACGCGCACATGGTTTGTCGGCCCAGAGCTACGTGCAGTCGGGCCAGTTCTGCCGTGCCCCACCAAGCGGAAACGGGCAAGCAGCTTCAGGCACGAAGACAAATTTACACACTACAAAGCAATACGTTTATGTTTGAGATTTTATTCAGAATGTGATGAAAAAATGCAAACATTTTCTGAAGTAGACAAAGTTAAGTTTGCCATTATTGTGTCTGAATGAGAGAGGCCTATAACTTCTTCTGTACACCGGCACCCTCTGGTGGGGCCGAGCCCCACGGGGCTCCTAAATGCAAAAAGGATTTCAGCAGGCCTGAAAGCCTGGGCAATGGCGGGGAAGCTGTGAGAGGAAGAGTCGTGTACTCCGTTTCTCAAACTGGCTCTTCAACCGTACTTTGAATGTCAGATCAGAGCTGTCATGGTGAATGAGACCACCCTGTCACTCTTCTTACCTCGCTGCCACAAGAAAAGCAAAGCCAGAGCGGCACAAAGAAAGCCATATTGTATTGATCTTCTCTGTAGATGCTTGTTGCCTACAAAAATCACTCACCATTGTAGTTTCTACTGTAATTAACTGTTGTTTGAAGTATTTTATTACATTACTAATCGATCCCCTGCTAAAGTAGCTCTCCACTCAAAGGCACTTTACGTGGTAACAACAGAAATAATAATGCAACAGTGGTGTTGCGACCTGGCTCAAAGGCTGCAACATAAGGGAGACAAGACGAGTGATAAAAGTAAGACATTTATTACACGAACAAATAACTGACTACTATGATAGCAACCGTCTCGCTTGCTGATGTGAACTACGGGGAGACCTTGAACACGTTGCCAGCCTAGCTAAAAACATTGTGAACTCTCCCACGGTGAAGGAAGACGGCAACGTGAAGGTGATCAGAGAGCTGCAGGCAGAGGTGACCAGGCTCGGAAGGCTAGAGGAAGCCAATCAGGTTTCCCCATGTGTGAAGGTAGAGGAGCTGCATCAGAATCAGACAAGGGTGGCGGCGGAAGAGGAGATGCAGCGCCTGAGGAGCCAGCTGTGCGAGAAAGAGGAGCAGGTCCAGCAGGCCGTCCTCAACCAGCAGATGGAAACGCAGACCAGACGAACAGAGGGTGGAGATGACCAACGCTCTGGAGGCCCTCAAGCAAGAGAAGTACTCCCTTCAGAAGGAAGTGGAGTTAAAGACCCGGATGCAGAACTCTCTGCAGTCGGACCTCGACTGTGTGAAGAACCAGCAGACGCGGCAGCTCAAGGACCAACAGATGCATCTGGAGAGGAGCCACAGCACAGCACTCAAGGAGGTCAGCAAGAAGATGCTGAGTTTGCAGAGTTGGAGGATAAGCTCGCTCAGATGGAGACAGAGCTCATCAGTAAGAATGTCCAGTATCTGTCACTGCAGCAACACGCCTTCAGCGAACAGCAGCTGCAGCGCATGAAGGTCCAGATAGCCAATCTGATGCAGCTCCAGTGTTCCAGGGCTGATCTCGAGCAGCTGGAGAGACTCCAGTCCATGCTCTCTGAGAAAAATGGAGAGATCCAAGACCTCATCACTGAACTGCAGATACTTCAGAAGATGATGAAGTCTCAGCCAGCCAATCCGGCTCCAGCAGGTGGTGGTGACAGCCGAGATGAAACCTACTACACTGACCTGCTCAAAATGAAGCTCAACAACTCTGTTAAGGATGCAGAGCGTCTGGTAGATGAGCTCTCCCTGCAGAGGATGAAGTCTTTGTCGGAGAGCCAGAGAGCTTTAGAGCTGGAGAGGAAGCTCTTCTCATCGGAACGTCTTCTCAAACAGACTCGGAGTGACATGATAGGACTGCAGCTACAAGTAGAAGAGCTGCAGGAGCCTGAGGCACCACCTGCCAAGTATGTGAAGATCGGTGGAGAAGAGCCTGTTGCTATTCCCAACCCCAGATCTCCTGTAACTGTCCAAAGACGAGGAGATGATCCATGTCAGCTCCCAAAGCACTATGGAGCACGTGTGTGCTCAGCAGTAGTGTGTGTGGCAAATAAGGATATAAGAGAAATTAAAAAAAAAAAAAAAAACAATCGTAACATTTAAGAAAAAAATAAATAAAAAGTTCCTCTGAAAAAGGCTCACTAGCCAACCAAATCGTCCACAGACGCACAACGCAAAGAGGCAACCCAACTACGAAAGGGAACAGGCCAAGCTAACAACTTGCCTGTCGCCACACAACGAAGGAGCAGTTCACCACATCCCTCATTTATCTACTGACTTGCTTACTCTATGAACCATTCATACTGCAGCAGCAGTCTTCGGGTTACACACCTGCAAGGTAACTGGGTCCAACTCAAACCTGAAACCCAACAACGCTCCAATTACTCCAAAAAATTTCTCAACAGAAACTCCATGTCTCCCAAACTACCAGACTGAACCTCATCACCAAACATGGTGCACCTGGCTACTAGGCTACTACTGAACCTGAAACAGTCTCTGCACATCAAGTCAATTGCAAACAGCAGAACTAACTTCACCATACAAATTTAAATATGTTACCTGATCAATTAAATCCCGGACGAGCCCCCACATGTTACGACCTGGCTCAAAGGCTGCAACATAAGGGAGACAAGACGAGTGATAAAAGTAATAAATAGACATTTATTACACGAACAAATAACCAAACTAAACTAGAACACACAACCAACCAAAGAATTAATCAAATGAAGCAGCTGCCTTGAGAGTCAGATAGGAGAGGAGGTGAGGCACCTCGCCATGTTCAGGTGGTTCATCTTTATAGCTGGCCATTTCCAGCAGGCTCAGGTGGGGCTCGTTAGCTGCCGATCAACATCCTGAAAGACAGAGTGGGCAGCAAACAGGACACAGACCCCTAGTGGATGGGAGGGGTCGTCACATGACATTACAACAGTGGAAAAAAACAAAACAAAAACATACATAACTGGCGTCGCAGGTTAAAAGCAGATTTAAACAGGTGAGTTTTCAGTGCAGTTTTCAAAGTGGAGAGTGAGGGAGAATGTCGGAGGTGCTGGGGCAGCGATGGAGAATATACAGTAAAGGCTGGTTATTGAGTGTCCAATTTCTGTCAGTTTGATGGAATGATTTTGATAAACAAGTAGGAGATTAGGAGAGAACTTAATGAGGATCGAGTGGTGGGATTTGGTGTCTGCCCTTGTTCAGGCTTAGCCCCCCCTTGGATAGCTTCAGGCCAGCTGGTGAATGTACCCGAATACGAGTGCCGTCGTGATTTAGCTCTGCCAGCACAGAGCAGTCTTCTCGCTTGTCTTATTTTATGCCTGGTGAGTCATGACTTACATAATTTCCGGATTTTTATTTTTTTCAAACATATGATTTATTCATGCTTTGCGTGCTGGAGTGGCTCAGGTAGAACGCCACTCGCAGCGTGTTACCATCACCTGGGAGTAAAGCGTTGGTCACCTTTACTCCTTCTGTGACGTGTCAGACTGCTGTGCCTGCCTTGCTGACTGAGAACGTTATCCCTTTTGCCATTGGCAGTAGACTTTATAGTAGGGCAGAGGGGGGTCATTCTGTGCATCTTCATGGGGATGTTAAGTTAATGAGCTGTCACTTTGGGTCAGACCTTGTCCAGACTGAAGTTCAGTGGGAGGGAGATCCACCGATGAGAAATGCTCTTAACTTGTTTGTGAACAGATGTTGGAGGGAAGGTGGAGTAAAGAAAGCGTCGGACCGGACACTCAAAGAGGCCTTGCAGTGCCCAAGAGTCAAGGATTTAAATACTCTAGATGTGGAGAGAGTTCTTAATAAGCGGTCAGATATAAGCACCTCTCATTCACAGATATAACCGCCTGTGGAAAAGACTCGACCACATTTCCACATGACAGAGACGGCCAACTTAAGGTGGCAGGCAGCCATGGCAGTGGCCCCGGATTGACTTGACAGTGCTGTAAAGCAGGATGCCTGCCCTGACCACTTCCTCCACATATGGCAGGGATTCGTCGCCTGGGTGCTCCCAAGTAAAGAGCAGAAATGTAGTATAACATTATCACCATGTGCCAACACTATTCACCAGCTAAGAGGAGCAGTATGACTGACTGGCTGGCTGGCAACCAGCTGGTGGCTTTATACTGCCCCCTTCTGCATTTTCTAAGTCAGTACACTGAGGAAATAGTATTCCTGTACAACCTTTACCTAATTTTTCTCCCTTGTAGCACAGATCTAGATGATGTTGTCTTATTCGGATAGACTGTAATATGAAGCAGCCCTGAGGGAAAGGATATCAGAAGATGTTCCCTGCTGTTTATGTCTCCACGTGTTGTTAACAAAGCGGTCCCTCTTTCTGTCTCTCTCTATCTCAGGGCCAGGCAGACCTACTGAAGCACGCTAAGAGCGAGGCGCTGGACACTCTGCGTCAGATCCACTGTGCAGCTCAGTCCTGTGGGCTCAGTAAGAACGGAGCCGCTTCCCCACAGCTCCAGCACCATCCTCATCACCCGCCGCAGCAGGTCCAGATACAGCAGCAGCCTCAGGCCAAGACCCACCCACAGCCTCCTCCACTGCACCAGTCCCAAACCCAGACAGCACCTCAGGCTTATCTCCATCCGCTTCCCCAGCAACATCCCCAGCCACCAGCTCTCCCTCTGGTTCAAACTGTTTCAAAACCACCGGCCTATACTCAACCCCCAGCCCTAACCCAGCTCCAGTTACAGTTCCAGAGCCAGCAGCAGAGGGCGGCAGGACCTCTGGACGCCATCCCCGAGAAAGGGATGGTCAGTGACGATCCTGCCGGATCCTGCTGACCCGCAGCCTGTGCCCACAGAGAATCCTACTCAAAGAGAGACGGAGAGAGCGAGCTAGAGATGGAGAAGCAGAAGGCCAGTAACGCAAGGGACCTGGAGGAATTGGCCGAGAGGATTAAAGAGATGATGATGGTGAGGAAGACCCGTCGTGTTAGAAGTGAGACACGAGTCTGAGACGAGGTTTGAGTTGGCCAGAGGAGAAAAGAGAGAGAGAGACCTCACACTTCAATCACACATTTCTTAACGGGATGGAAAACTGGAACGGCAATGTTTACTTTTCTCCGTCGTGCATTATGAAGATAATCTTCCATCTGAGCCAGGAAGTTTAGGTCTCTTCTGTCTTCTCTCTTGTGAAAAGCCAAAAGGGTAACAGCTGGTAACAGACTTCTTTGCGTGTGTCTCGGCATAGGAAAGCATTAAGCAGTCGGATCGGTTAGATATCCCTGTCTCTCTCTGGGAAGTGCTAGTTACATGCCCCTCCATTATGTACTCTAGCTCTGTGGGTACAGGCTTTACCTCACGTTTGGCATTTTTCTGCCACAAATTTGCCTTTTTATTTCCAGAGAATCCTCGGCATGTCTTTGGCCTTTTATTTTTTTCATGCTCGCACTCCTCCATCGCAGACGTAAAGCTAAGCGCAGACCCTCACCCCTTTTCGACGAAGAGGATGCCATTTTTTCATTTTGAGTGCACAAACGTAGAGCAGCTCGAGTAGGCTGAGCTCTGTAGGCGTTGCAAAGATGTCTAATTCAGCACAAACCAGGAAGCTTTAGAGCCAAAATAGAAAAACAAACTGCAGCTGTTGATGTGTTCTGTCACATCGACGCTCTTCTTGCCACGCTTGCTGTTGCCGACCTCCATCGAGCCCCACACACCTCTCCAGAGTCATTCCACATGATTTACGTTCTTCAGCATTCATGGACTCTCCCCACAAGGTCTCCTTGACTCCCCCCAGGGGCTGTGTGCGTGTGTGTGTGTGTGTGTGTGTGTGTGTGTGTGTGTGTGTGTGTGTGTGTGTGTGTGTGTGTTTTGGTCCCCAGGGTGGAGCTGGCCCATGTCAGTTAGTGGCAGAGCTCACCAGACCTCTGACCAACCAGTCAGAGGTCAACAGGAACATAGTACTGCTGTCAATAAAAACACAAATTAAAGTGAATATAGATGTAAAGTGGATGTGAAATGTACGAAGGGAACATATATTGATATAATAATTCTTCAGACACAGATTAACGATTGATATTATTGTAATTGTTGTTAGTTCTATTGATATTCAGATTCTTTTTTTTTAGCATTACTTCCACATGTACAGTGATTTGACACCTGTTGAACTGTGGTGCAGATCAGGACGACCAGTGCATGTGGGACTGCAACGAGGGATCACTGGTAAGCGCCACAACACAGGGGGTCCAAACAATAACCCAACGTGTGTTTCACTGCAAAGTGAGTGTGGATTCTGTAAGAGCTCCTTTAAGTGGCCCATTAAAACTGGCTTCATTGTTTATCCTGTCTCCTCTTCTTCATTTCTCGTTCATGACTTTCAAATAGTGATACATGAAAATGTCACTTAGAAGGATGTTAAAGTAAATATGCCCGTTCTGTGTCAATTGACCTGGATTTCAGCGACGTAACGATCAATCACTGATATTTTACTGAAAAGTATTTCGGAGAATGACTTTGAGTAAGTATTCAAACTGACAGTAGCGCTTCAGAGCATTCACAGAATATCTACAGCAATCAATAACGCCTGTGGGAGGCTTTATTGAGCGCTGCTGATGCACTATGATGCACTCTTAATTCTCTCAATCTACAGTTCTTCTCGATAAACAAGAAGGAAGCCATTTATTTCATCACAAATGAGTTTGTGTCTATTTAAAGCAATGCTTCCTGTTGTCCATACGATGGCAACAGACATTAAGTAAACGAGGATGTGAGGATGAAAACAATCTGAAAGTCGATAATTGCTTTCAAGTGATTTTGTTACCCTGTTATGTTTACTTATGACAGTGGCGATGTTCTTCGGTCTTATAGAGCATCACTTGGGAGCAGCGGTGTCGCAAAGAGGTAACTGTCTTTTTCAATTGAAATAATCCGACTCAACGTTATTTTTAGCTGTGGGCTCATACATTCATCAACACTGTTCACCCCGCTAGTAATAGCTCTGTGAAGGAGCAAGCCAAAACTGCTCTTGATGTGTGAGTATGGCACCTTTTGTGTGAGAGAATAAAGCCCATAGAACCTCATTATGAGGCATAATAATATGCCTTTTGACTGAGCTTGTCATTACCACTGAGAAAGGGCGTCTGAGCTTTTTCCATATTTATATCCTAGAACTCGTAGGACACATTAGCTAATTGACTTCCGTCCCTCACCTGTCATCTTAATGGTATGTTTTCATAAACCTTTGGCAATGCGGCCACAAAGAAATACCTGTAGTTCATTAAAGGTCCAGAGTAGTGCCTTGGAGATGATCTGCCACAGGGGACTAATTAATGGCAACGAGCGTTTCATCACGAGCAAAGAGAATTAGTGGTATTGTGTCCTGTTTTGTGGTCGGACAAATGACGTCCATCGGTGTGGGCACCACCAAACAATATAAAAGACACGATTCTTTCCCTGGGGATATCAGAAGATCAGATGACTCCCCTTCACACAAGCCAGAAGATGCCGTGGCTCCCCACCAACTTCCAGAAAGCTGCTGGGATGGACACGTCTAACCGGGTAAAACGGCCTATTCATTTCTATTTAGAGATTAGTGAGCGAGTTGTTTGACTTCATAAATTCATGGTCTTTTAAGTCGCCTAAGGTTGGTTTCACATTTATCTTTGGTCTTTCTATTTGTATTCGTATCCTCACCAAGACGCAAGCAGCTGGATTAAACATGTTTTACAAATGTGTTGTATCAGTTTTTATTCAATTATTAATTTGACTTTATGTGATTAAAAAAAAAAGTTGTTGCATTTATTACAAATACTTCAAATTGGGCATTTTATTTTCATCATGTCGCTGGTATCTTGTGAAGGTACAAGTTCACATGGTGAAAGCAGAGTATTTGGTTTGCATTAACGGGGAACTGTAGGGCGTCCTCTTCTACAAAACATCTATTTCTCTGTTGAAGGGATCCGTGAGCAGCATTATCATTATACTCATGTAATCAGTGTTATTATTTCACCTATAGTTCATTGTCATTTGTATTTTCGATGTCTTGTTTATGCTTTGTATCACGTCTAAGGACAAGGGTTGCTGAATTGAGACCAGGCTACATGTTCCTCTCTGTGATAAACAAGTTTCTCTAAGAGTTAGGCAGATGGCTTAGGCTCGACTATAATTAATAGAGTTGTACAGTAAGAAAAACTACATTTCGTTAGGTTGGTATGATTTCATTTTTGTAATATCATTTTGACTAGAGATGAAGGTTTTATTGGAGATTCAGTGATTCATATTCATTATACATAGGTTTGTCTATCTATCCATTAATATCTAACCAGCAACATTTTGATCATGGTGCAATAAAGACTTTACAAGGAATGATAAAGGATTCTTTTGACGCCTGCACGGTGTTATTTGTGTGTAAACGAATCTCTTTTGCCCAGCAGAAAGTCCTGGTGCTGGTTTTGATGCTGCTGCTGTCTCAACTGGCCTGTGATGCTCACAGCGTGTCTGAATGCTGCAGAGAACCAGCTCGCTCCTGCCGCCTCTCTGTGTTTCTGTGTCGCAAAAACTTTGCCGGAGCGCTCCCTGGAGACGCCGCCGCCGGCATCCTCACTTTGGGCAAACGAAATGAAGATGAGCGTAACTTGCAGAGCCGACTCAACCAGCTCCTTCACGGCTCCAGGAATCAGGCAGCAGGGATCCTGACTATGGGGAAGAGGATTGCAGAGAGGGCTGGAGAGCAGTACATGGACTGGATGGCTCAGTCGGGATCAACCATCACAACGCCACTACCTGATTTAAGCTAAATACCTCGTGGTATAGTAAGCAGCCTATGAGACTCTTTTAAAATCCAGGGAGAAAAAACCCACCTATTTGGGGAGTGTCATTACACCAACTGTGTGTCATTTGCTCATGTAAAAACAATTGTGATTTTCTTTGAACTTTGCCTTTTTGAATGTGATGTGCTGTAAGCGCACTGGGCTATCGGATGACATTAAGAAGATGTGTAATATTGTACATAGATGGAAAGCAGGCTGTCGGGTGTAATAAAAAATATAAAGCTGACATGTCTTTAAAAAAGTGCTTCAGTTCAGTCTCTGAAAAATCAAAAGCAGCAATGATTCATGTTATGTTGCATTAACCAGAAAAGGATCATGTTGGGAAAATCTGATACTGTATGTATGTGTGTATATATGAATATACATATATACATAAATATAAACAATATATATAAATGTATATATATATATGTGTGTATATATATATATATATATATATATATATATGTATATATATATATATGTATATATGTATATATATATATATATATATATATATATATATATATATATACATATACATTTATTCGATTGTATTATTCTATTTACTCAAACAACATTAGGGAGTGTACGAAGAATATAATCTTTTTGCTGAAGGCAAAAGTGTCTGATTGCAGGGGAGTGTTTATTCTTGCCACAGATTCATATTAAATTAAATTATTGTAAGATTTACTGGAAAAAAGAATGAAGTGTTACATCAAATAGTTACTCGCCCAATCCACCCAAATAATATTTGTCCAACCCCTCGCACTGAATCAAAGCCCAGCATCTCGGCTCAAGTCTAGACTTCTATTTTGATTGAGTAAAGCTTGCACATAGGAGCCCAGTACAGTGTGGGAACAAAGTGGAACACAAGATGGTGCTGATATGATAAAAAAAAAGTGAGAGGGGCAGTGATACAGATGATAGACTATCCAACAGGATGCCTCGTGCGTGATTTGTAAAGATAAATGTGAAGATGTTCTACCATCACTTCTGTTTGCCCTGATCTGTGAGTGGCACTCTGTGGCACAAATCTATCAGCACGATTGTGTGTACTCATTTACACGCACTGAATTCTTTTTTTGTTGAAGCCTTACATGCACGACTGTAGGGGTTCAACACTTTGCACTTTTTTAAATGCAAGAACACTGCGATTCCAATATCTTCATTCGTACTCCAGGTGTTCCTGAATAAGTTTGTTTACCATACGCCCCCTCTAAATAAAACTATTCATCTATTTACTTTTTATCCAATCTATAAAATCGAAGTTTGTACTGCTATTCATTTCACCAAATGACACCTCTGTTCTTAAATCTGCCTTTAAATTTGAAAATATTGGATGTAATCAGGTTTCTTTTTACCTTTTGATCTTTCACTGAGATCCAAAGTGTTGCCCCTCGCTGAGACTTCTCAGTACCACAGGCTTCTGCTTGTGCTCAGTGTGTTTTTCTTAGGAAGGTGCTTTGTGATGCTGAAAGACACGTTCTACACCTGTTGTTGACGTATAGGAGCATTATAGAAAATGATTGAGAAGCTGTTGAGGAAATGTTCTTGAACTGAGGTCGTTGTGCAGACTGAGATGATGTTATTTCTCGCCCAGTTACTTAAGTGTGACTCTTTAGCTAAGCTACATCACACATATAGCCTCCATTAGGGACACATTTCAAGAGGACTGCTGCTCAGCAACATGTTGCAGCATATAGCTTGCTTCAAGCTGAATCTGCTGGTTTTAATAATCTGACAAAAATGACTGTTGTGTGGATCAGTACAATATGTAATGGCTAAGTGTAGCGATTATATTAACCTATGCATTAATTAAGTGTCAGGTCTTAGTGGGTGCTGGAGGACAGCGGTAATTGGCACGGATGCTGTACAAAGAAACGGTGCTTGTTGTTATCTAGAAATGCAATCGGTGTGTGTGTGTGTGTGTGTGTGTGTACTTTATACTCTGTGTGTTACAGCGACTGTGTGTGTGTGTGGGGGGGGGTGTTTGTTTGTGTACAGTATAGGTAGTGAAGAGAATGTGATGTAGATATGGTGATACAAGCAACACGCTGCTGACAGACATCCCGCTTGGCAGCAGATGGATTGTTTGTGTCAATGAGCCAGACAGTGAATCATCATCGAGTGCTGCACTTGATTCAACCTGACCTCTGATCCCCACATGTCCATAGACTATATATATATATATATATATATATACACTCCTTCTGTACAACAGATTAATCATTTGAAGCGAGCAGCACGGCGAACAGAACAGCGTCTTGTAAGTGATAATAACTTCTCTGGGGAGTGATAAGTACATGTAGGAGTACACAGGGTTTTTTGCATGGGAAGGAGAGAGAAGACAAGAGAGATAACTAATAGATTCACTGTGTGTGTGTGTATGTAAAGAGGGATGGTTCAGGCTTTTGTATGAGAGACAGAGGGCGGGGGAGAGAGAGAGAGAGCGAGAGAGATAGGGGACTCGGCGATGGCAGGAACCATGGTGAGTGGAGTTAGACCGACTAAAGAGAAGCTGAGGCTTTGCCGTGATATTGGATTGGTGCTGAAAGCAGAGCGTTGCACACACTGAAACCTGAAAGGCTCCCTAAATCAAGACAGAGAGAGAAGCTTTAGAGAACTGCGCCTTTTTTCCACAGAAGTCAGTAGTTTCATCTTGACAACGCAGAATAGAAACATCTTACACTCCATCACAACATTGTGGAAGAGTCAGAAGCGAGCCCGAGGAGAGGCTCTCCGTGGTTTTCTTTCAGGTCGTCCTTGGGGAATGTTGACGAGCTTCTGGAAACCGCTGTCTGAGAGTCCGCAGCCTTCCCCTGATCTCGTACAAGATGCCAGTGATGAAGGGCCTCCTTGCTCCACAAAACACCTTCTTGGAAACCATTGCAAACCACTTTGATGGCACTCGTAAGTATACTTTGTAGAAGATATCTCACTAATACTCTACAGTTTGTCCCTGCAAAACCTGATGTTAATGTTAATGACTTGTCAAGGGAACTAAATTACAGTGCATGTACCAATGGGCATTTTTGAAGCTTGCATTTTAAATGTAATTTGTGGGACAAACAAGACATTCAGTGCATCCTTTGTGTACATCTTTGGACAAGCTGCGCTGGTTCTTTGGGCGTACTGTATCACCACTATTCACATCAGTACTGCAGTCAATGTGTGTCAAACTTTTTTTTCACCATAGACACACGTGAACACACACAAATTAAAATTGTGACGTCAGCAAATAGATTTCTCCCAGTTTTTGACGCTCCAACTCGACCAGTTAAGCTTTTAGGAGTTTAGCCTTTGGCGTTTTTGTAACCTAGTTTAGGATTCGGGACTGGCACTGAAAAAACGCCGCTGTCGACAAATGCGTCCAACGGTAGAGAGATCCAATTATGAGACTGTAAGTGGTGACAGTAAACCAGGGCTGGAAATGGAGACGGGCAAGTGCCATAGAATGATGTATTGGAGCTGAAGAGACACTTGTTGAGCCGCAGAGCTCCTTGTTAGGATGTCAGTGAGGATTGTTCTTCAAAACACACAAAGAAATGTTAAATGAATCCTTCAGCGGTATTATTAAATGCTTGTCATGTGAATCTACCAAACAAATAATATCCTAGTAATGTCTGCATGTTTTCAGACGGTTTAACATGTTTCTTAAATATTATTCTTCAACATTAAACTTTAAAACATGTAAGGCTCTATTTTCAAGGCAAGATACGTTGGTGTCTCTTGATCTTGGATTTTTAAAATTTGGACATCCTTTGAGTGTTTTTGTGCCATGCATAGAGTGCATGGTGTAAGGGAAGCAGGAGAGGCACAGCTAAATGGAATGTAAATGAAAATGAGGTGAAGGAAGTGTTAATAGTTTGGTGAAAATTTGCTTTTTTACTCTCAGTCAGACCCAGATCTGTTTCAGCACAGTGTCACTCATTTAATAATTAGGCTATGTGATTCTGCAAGCAAGCACATTCAAATATACTTGATAGATGTGTACAGCAATTATTACGAAATAATACTAAATGCTATAACTGAAAACCTAATTAAACATTAAACACTACCACAATACGAAGCAAAGCTTTACTCACAAAACGTAACCATTTTTTTGTTTTTGCTATTGTGAAAACCTTGAAAAATATTCAAGATTATGCATCAAAAACTTAACATGACGGGAGTTTCAAGACCTCCACAAATGTAAATTCACCTAACACACCTGCAAACCGGTTCTGCTCTTGTGTTGCCACTCAGACAGCAATCTTAGTTTCCTAATTGGAAAAACCAAGCTCCTTGTTTTATACAGTGTTTTACTCCACATAGCTCTTTTTGTGCAGAGCTTAACAATTAGACAGTTGTTTAATTTCTCGCCTCGACAGTAATGATGTTCACCCACTGTTCATTCATTTCGACCCGTGTTTTGTTGTTTTGTGTGTGTTCCTGTCCTGCCCTCCCAGTCCAACTCTGTTAGTCATCAGCAGGCACTTCTCAGCTCTTTCCAGAACACGATGAAAGGTGTGACAGACTCTGTAGGGGTCAGACTGTTCATGTCCTTTACAACATTACAAATTCAGTGTGATGACACTATTGCTGTCACACACTCAAAAAATCCCTTCTTCACATTGTCTCGCCCTTGCTTTCTATATGACACACACGCACACACACACTTGCGTACACGTGCGATAGCGCTGCAGACATTTTCTCAATCCAAGCTGCCACAATACCTCTGTATCAGATGTGCAGACGGGGGCGGATTGACCAAGTAGCTGAGTGGGAGGTGAAAGGACCAACTGACCAAAAGATGGCTTCAGAGCAGAGCACTATTTAATCCGAAAAACTGCCTTCAATCTGTCTCGGTTAAAATAAAAAGTCTTTCTGCATGGTGCCATCTCTTTGGAGACAAGGGGACAATTGTTTCAACTCATAGATCTCTCTGCAGAAGAAATAACACAAATATTGAGGCTGGGTTCAGGGGAATGGACTTGGTGTTCACATGGCACTGGTATTTGCAGGGACATTAATTAAAAGGAATTATGCCTCCGACAAGAGCCAAATTGAATACCATCGGTCTTGCTCAGTCAACTGAAATACTTAAATCATTGGTTTAGTTAATTCACCTCCAAATATGTCAGCAATTTCAATTGATGGTTTAGAGTGACACTCATGATGTATCTTAACGTTTTCTTAAGAGTATCATACACCTGGATCTTAAATTGTTTCAGTGATATAATAGTACAGCACCAGCCATCAAGCTGTAGCTTTTCTTTCTGTTTTATCCCTCCTTTGTCGACAGTCTCTTCTGCTAATTGTCCTGCAGTAGGTGTTGAAATGACATCTTTCTCCTCCCCATAAGTGCCGTCCTGTATAATTAGCAGTAAGAGTCATTGAGTTTGAGTGACTGCACTTTAACTGTGAAGAAGCAAATGTATTAGATGAATGCCAAGTGGAATTAGAGACGTAGCAATGACATTTAAAAAAAAAAAAATTTGTATTATCAGGATTTACAACATGCACTGATTTTCTGAGCTTCAACATTTACTGACAAGAAAGACATCAGTGAGTAAGTTTCACAGATAAACAATCATTTTTTCCAGTCAGTAACATGAAGCTATAGAAACGGGATGAGGGGAGGAAAGAGAGGAAAAGCGGGAGAGACAGGACCTGACAATTGGCGGGTAAGGGATCCGACCAAGATACTCGTGAAGATTACAGTTGAGGCAACAATCTATTGATAAAGAGGCAATTGAAAGAAATCTGCTGAAAAGCCTTCAGTTTTATATAAATTTGATATTTTAGTAAATCCTCACTCGTTCATGTTGTATAAGCACTTCAGCAATCATCCGTTAAATGTGTTGAGTGTGAATCAGAAACGAGACCAAAGCTTCAGATCCTTTATTGGCTCCATCTGTGTTTGGGAGGGCACGGTGTCTCGGTGACCCCGTAGATGCAAATTGCAGCATTGCCATATGTTTTATTTTTCTCGAAAACAAGTTGCTATGGCAACGTGAGAGTGGAAAAGATCTTAATTTCCTCCTTTGTTTCTCGTGAGATAAACAGCTTATCAGAATGTCCACGCATCACCAAATCGCTCTTCCTCTGGAACGAACACTTAACACCTCCTTAATTATTTTTGGTTTTAAAAAATGGATGGATAAGGTGCATCTACAGCTACTTGGTGTTATCTGTGTTTGTTTAGTCTCTTATATAGAAAGAACACAGAGCATCGCTCTCGTTTAAACCGGCTGCGGGGGCCTACAGGTGTTCAGTGTTGTCTTTGCAGCTATATCATAATTAAAGTGTTTTGCAGCATAGTGTTTGGATTTGAGTCAGCTTGCATTCAGAGAGCGACTGAACAAATAAATGAAAGAAGACACCATTCAGTGGACTCGGCCCATCTGTCTAAATACTGAAGGGATATTCGAGGTTATATGCAGACGAGTGGAAGCAGACGTGCATTAGTCAATGAATGGCTGCGAGATTTTGCTTTTGTTTTTTTATGCATAACCCCCATATCATTTACTCCTACAAATCATTCTGTAGTTTCTAAAGAGTGGATATAAATTTAGCGAAGCTACAAACTCTAAATTCTTATTTTAACTGATGACAGCTTTTCAAGTAGGAGATTACTCATACAGCGTTCCCCAAAAAGCTATCTTTTGTATGGTGTCCATGGACAGAAAACCTGCAAATCCATTCAGTCTTTGTGCACATTGATAGTACTTATAGTACATTAACACAATATTTTCTTTCAGACGAGGCTTTTCATTTTGAAGTATCTCTCTGAACCATAGACTGCCCGTCTTCTCAATCATTATTTCTTAGGCATAAAATCATCTTTTAGACAGAAGTATTCTCTCTCTTGTCACGTACTGTTATGTAATACCTGAATATTAAAACGTTTGCTTCTCAGCAGAGTTAGAAAGAAAAACATGTCATGTGTGTATGTGTGATTCTTTTTCATTTCCACAACAAGAGGCCCATTAATACTTTTTACATTGCTTCTTTCATCTGTACAAAAAATGATCTGTACAAAACTTCCTGGAGTCTTGGCTGGTTGCCTGGCAACTGCACATTTATTAAGTCCACATAGCTGAAACAGTCCTGCACTAAATCATAGCTGAATTTCCAATGTTTCTGTTTCTGTTTTAACGATTTTAGAGAGGCATTGATTCAAATTTTATGGCCATTTTGGAGGATGTAATGTGTGGTGCTGTTGGACAGTATTGCATTATAACATAGAAGCGTTGCTATTATTTAGCCGACACTCACTGATATAAATGGACAAAATGATTAAAACAACCAATACAGTCCAACAGCAGCACAAACTGCATCCTCCAAAGTGAGCGTGAAGTTGAACAAAACAGTTTGGGAGTGAATTGCTTCCCCAAGTGAAGGAGTTCAAGTATCTCAGGGTCTTGTTTACTCGCGCTGCTCTCGTGTTCTCGCGGTAAAAGGAGCCAGTTGAGGTGTTTCAGGCATCTGATCAGGATGCTGCAGTGGGCGCCTTCATTTGGAGGTTTTCGAGGCACGTCCAACTGGCAGGAGACCCCGGGGGCAGGTATACCCAGAACACGCTGCAGAGATTAGCTAACACATCTCATCCGGCTTTCAGTAGCTCTGGAAAAAGTTGAGGGACATCTGTAGCCGACTATACCTCGCTTCACCTGCTGCCACCGCGACAAGGCCCCAGATAAGCGCCATAAAGGGGATGGATGGATCTTTTAAAAAGACTGTGTGTGTGTGTGTGTGTGCGTGTCTGTGTGTTTGTAAAATACATTGCATAACCGGTGGCTGGATGAAAACATGCTCTGCATGCTAAGGGCCAAAGCCTCACTGAGGCCCGAGCCTCCCATGGATCCAGCTGGAGCCCTGCATATAGAGACTGAATACACACCACTAGCTTACTCCAAAGCCCTCTCTGATAAACACTAGACTATACCAGGGCTCTGAGCTGAAGGCAGACAGGATGACTCAGAAAAAAAAGAAGTTGTTTTTTGCTGGTGCAACAACAAATAAAACAAATCTGGAGAGAAGTATGTCGAGGAAGTGAGGAGCGGGAAGGGAACCTGGTCGCCATGTCTGATTGTTACTCCTTCAGAGCGCTTTCTTACAGAGCTGCAGCTTGGTGTGTCACTGCTGTGCATTTAGAAAAGCACAGCTTTTTACCTCTTATTTCTTTCGCAGATAGTAACTTCCTGCTGGGAAATGCTCAGGGGCGTCACGGCTACCCCATCGTGTACTGCTCTGATGGGTTTTGTGAGCTGACCGGCTTTGTACGGACTGAAGTGATGCAGAAAACTTGTACGTGCGGCTTCCTCCATGGAGCCGAGACCAATGAGAGTGTCGTCCAACAGGTACACAAGGCTCTGGAGGGCCAGCAGGAGTACCAGGGAGAAGTCTGCTTCTGCAGGAAAAATGGTGAGGATCATATTATGCACATGTTGAGAAGCTGAGATGGCCATGCACTCTGAAACACACACGTTTTAATATTGTTTCTAAACCTGACCTAAAACGTATTCGTACATTGGTGATGACGTCCTGAATTTAACCCATTTACCTGGCCTTTCTTGTGAAAACAAATATGTTTAAAGGAGGGTGAGGTGAGGTGAGGTTAGCTATACAAGTAAAAACAAAACATTGTTATTCCAGTGTTAATATAAATTTAAGTCATAATGTTATGGAGAAGAGCAGTCGTGCGGTATTGTTGGTTTCAATCTCAGTTTAATAACCTTTTTTTAATATCCTCAGGAAATACATTTTGGTGCCTCCTTGATATTGTGCCAATTAAAAATGAGAAAGGAGAGGTGGTGCTCTTCCTCTTGTCCTTCAAAGACGTCAGTGAATCATATGGGAAAAGCCATCTCTTCAGCCAAGCAGACGGTGAGGCCTGGCTCCTATAGCTTTTAACTCTCTTTTAACATGGCATTTACATTAATGCTGTGAGTGTCTTGATTCTGCTCACAGGTACGTCAGAGGCTGCTCACCAGAGCAGGAAAACCAATCGTTCGCACTTTTCCCAAGCTCGAGAGAGGGGGAGGACTATTCTGCACCACCTTACCAACCAGTTCACCAAGAGGGGCAAGAGAAAACTGCCCGATGTGAGCGCAAAGCCCTGGATCATTAAGATCATTAAACACACAATATGAACACAGTATGAGTCTCAATATTTCATTATTCACTGTGACTGAGTGATGCTTGGCTATTTTCCTTAGGATACAAGCACAGCTGTCCAATCAGCAAGCCCATAGGGAATGCATAGTTTGTTCAGGTCTATTCAAAATGTATTCAACATGTTATGGAGATGATGATGATGAAGACAGATGATGATAGGCAGGTGTACACCCTCAGTGTTTCATGCTGAGCTAACTAATGACAGGCGCTGAAGAAAATGCATATCATTATTTGTATTTTTATATATTTCCAAGTTTGGTTTCTTTTATCCAAAGAAGTCATTACACATCAGGGTTAAAGGTGGACGCAAATATAATGCAAGTTTCTCTGCAACTGTGTCAACTCAGCACCGGGAGGAACACTCTCATACATTTCCATTTTTCCCAGAGTTCAATTTCTTGTGAGGATTTTCTCTGTGATTTATATGCCACCTGTCTCTCAGAGTGTGTTTCAGAAACCGTCTCTACCCGAGTACAAGGTGGCAGCTGTGAAGAAGTCACGTTTCATCCTGCTGCACTACAGCATCTCCAAGGCCTTGTGGGACTGGCTGATTCTACTGGCGACCTTCTACGTTGCTGTCGCTGTGCCTTATGACATCTGCTTTGTCAGTCACGATCAGGGCGGCGACTATCACTCACTTGTCAACCGAAGCACCATCGGCAGTGACATCGTGGTGGAGATGCTCTTCATACTCGGTACGATGTATATTTATTTGATTTTTGTTATCGTTTGTTTGCAGTCATGTCGGTCAAGTCTTTCTCCGGGTACGAGGCAAAGTCTATATTTAGTCTATAATTAGCAGCTCGTACCAGTTTAAGGTTAAATAACATCTCCTGCACTGATCGCATGCTGCACACCAGCCGACCTTTCCTTCGAGGCATCCTGAGCAGCATCGTGCAGAGACAACAATGTTCAGTTTGAATTAAGAAAAACTATATTTATCAGTGCCGCTGCAGTGGTTTCCCTGGCGATGGCTAACACGTACACGACTACGGATCCCGTCTCTGTTGCCCCAGGTTACGAATCACAATTAGATTTCTCTCACTTTGTTCCACTTTTCCTCCGAACAAAGTGTGATGGCACATCTGTCGCGAGGCCCTGTGACTTCCAATCTCTCAACAAGTTTGGAGACAAAATTAGCTCACCTGGTATCACGTGCTGTTGTTCTATCTTTGCTTTTAGTGAAAGTAATTTCATCAGTGAGGTTCTGTACAATCTCTATACAATCTCTATACAATCTCTATACAATCTCTATACAATCTCTATACAATCGTATTGCAGTGAACGAAAGAGGAGATTGTCTTTTCAGTGTAGTGAAAAGCTAAATAAACTGGATGTGTGACAATATATGTGTGCTAGGAAATACTGCTAATGTCCATTTCAGCCTTCAATTTAATGTGTTTTCTAATCATGATTTATTTTTCAAATAATTCTAAAGTATTCATTATTAATTAATCAACTTGAATTATTTGTGTTTGTACCTTAGCTATAGTCTAAGTGAACTCATGAACTCAACCCTAAATGTATAATGCAATCACAAAAGGTTCTTTTAATGTTTTATTTCTTCCTTGCCAGATATCATCCTGAATTTCCGTACCACCTACGTGAGTCAGTCGGGTCAGGTGGTGTACGACGCCCGTTCCATCTACCTCCATTACTGCACCACTTGGTTCTTTGTGGATCTGATCGCAGCGCTGCCCTTTGATCTTCTCTATGCTTTCAACATCACTGTGGTGAGATTACATATCTCGAAGTACAGTATGCCCCGAGGTTTGATACTTTATTCAGGGCCATAGCCAGCGATGTGTTAGTGGTGTTGTTCCCTCGGAGCATTGGACTGAAGATGATTATCCCTCTACACTCAACCACCTCACTGAGCATTGTCGCTTGTCTGCTCGCTTCCATTTTATCCTGCAGATAAACACTAGTGCTTCTCTTGCATTAGTCTTACTTTGCTGCAGGCCTCAGCTGACTCACAAAGACATCTCTCTCTCACACTTTACACTCTTCTGTTTGCCACCGTATTTTATGAAGTAAAACTTCTTTATCTTATTGTATTTTTAATCTTCTATTTTATTTTGTTTAAATCTTTATAACACATTGACGTGTGCCTATTTACGTCATCTTTGTGTTTCTTTCATATCTTGTCTTATTGAATTTCTGTCTAATGTCTAACTTGCTTTGCCTCTAATTACAGCCTTGGTTTTGTTGAAATGTACCCTGGATAACAACTTTCCTGTTCACTGTAACATTAAATTCAGAGCAAGTGCTTGACAAAAGGGAAAATTTGAAAACACTGAATAAAGATTCGAAGTGAAAAGAGGATGGGTCACAGGTTATACTTACAAATATGCAATACAAAATGATCCAGCTTGCATGTTTTGCTCTCTATCTCTCTCTCTCTTCACTCAGACCTCGCTGGTGCACCTGTTGAAGACGGTTCGTCTGCTGCGTCTGCTGCGCCTGTTACAGAAGCTGGATCGCTACTCCCAGTACAGTGCTGTGGTCCTGACCCTGCTCATGTCTGTGTTTGCTCTGCTGGCTCACTGGATGGCTTGTGTCTGGTACGTCATCGGACGCAAGGAGATAGAGAGCAGTAACCCCGTTACCTGGGAAATAGGTGAGCACATTGTATGCGTGTTTGACAGCTCCAACACCACTGAATCAAGAATATAATGTTCTTCCTTGCTCACTAAGCTTTGCTGAGACCAAAGGGCCAGGACTGCACATCTCTAGTCGTGCTTGAATGCCCAAAAGGCCTAAGCATCATTTCAACCTCTAGCTTGTCTCCTCTCAGCACACAGGAAGTTTAGGTCACAGACTAATTCCATTATATCACCAGTAATACGTTATATCATTTTATTATATCACCCATTTTATTACCTACCAAAGGAGAAAGGGGTCATCCATCGAAGCAGATAAGTCGCTTCCATTATTCTTACACAACCATCTTCTGACCGCTTCCACCAGGCTGGCTTCAAGAGCTGGGAAAGCGTTTGGAGACCCCATACATCAACAGCACCAGGGGTGGCCCCTCCATCCCTAGCGCCTACATCGCCTCTCTCTACTTCACCCTCAGTAGCCTCACCAGCGTCGGTTTTGGCAACGTGTGTGCCAATACAGATGCCGAGAAAATCTTCTCCATCTGCATTATGCTCATGGGCGGTGAGTTTACTTGTGATCACAGCAAAAATTCCCTGGAATTAAAAATAAATGCCGTGAGAATATCATAACGTTGCGTCCCTCTCCCACCTCCAGCCCTGATGCACGCAGTGGTCTTCGGCAACGTGACGGCCATCATCCAGCGCATGTACTCACGGCGCTCTCTCTACCACACCCGAATGAAGGATCTCAAGGACTTCATCCGTGTGCACCGGCTCCCTCAGCTGCTGAAGCAGAGGATGTTGGAGTACTTTCAGGCCACTTGGTCTGTTAACAATGGCATCAACGCCAATGAGGTGGGTGAAGAATCACAAGGACAAAGACACCATTTGCCTGTGATCTCTTCAAACATTTAAGCCCCTCATGAGATTTTTTTCTGTTAAAGTTACTGTGAAGAACTTTTATGAGACAGTCTCATACTATACTGATGCATCTGTATGTTATGATCTACATGAGTAAACCTATACCATCAGCGAGAGGATTGGCTTTTTCTATAAAGTCATTTTTAGGTGCCACCGGGTTGGATTCAGGCGAAATCAGTCAAAATCATGCAAGTTCACCAGATATTCCCTCAGTTCAGACAGACCCAGATCCATCTTCCTTGTCGCTATACCTCCACTACTGCTTTTGTCCACAGGGACCGCCAAAATCAACACAAAATAAGAGTTCCTCGTAGTAGCTTTAAAATGAGTAAACTGGACATTATGTGAGCTGCAGAAATGTCTTTTCCATGAAGAAAAATTACATTCTGTGCGGGTACTAGATTCTCGATTCGGGAAACGTCATCCTTAAATTGTGGGTCACCTCAAATTCTCTGCTGTCTCATTCCACTTCCTGAAGTAGAGGACGCTTTGTTGCAAATAGAACTTCAGTAACGATGCCAGAACCGATCGAGGAGAAGTTCCCTGTAATTACAGGAGTAGGAGTTGAAATAGAGAGAATACTCATTAACACCCTCACAGCCACCATCTGTACATAATTAATTCACTGTCGAAGGTAACAGACAGAGCCACTGATTTCTGAGAACATGCTGGCTTTAACACTTTGTGTCTGTTTGCTTGGCACGTCATGTGAGTGCATCAACCTTATTAACCACAATCTGTGCCCTTTTTCTTTTCTTTTTTTTTGCTCCAGCATTTAGTAGAAACATTCAAATCCCTCATGTATCCAGTTCCAAGTACCTCAAGGTGAATATGTTAAATTCAAAACAGAAGTGTTTTAGGAAAGTCCCTTTTGGAGCTGGACCAAGTGATGTTTGACCACAGGGGCAGAGAGAGACTCCTGAAATAGAGCAACATGAGTATCCCACTGTAGTCACATGCCTTTTACAGTAGCTCTGGTTTGGTCCCGACAACCTCTTGACTATAATATATGTGTGTTCAGCTTGCTTGATGCAAAGAGGAACCTCAGCTGGCCTCGAGATTCAATCATACGGTTGATGTGTGGACTGAACGACTAAAACTATGAGCTGAAAGCTGCAGAGATGGGTGTTCATTCCTGCCACCTGTCTACAACATATGTCTTCCATTCATGTTTTCAGTTGTTTTTGGCTTAAAGTATATATTTTCCAATTCAAATTTACCGTCGTCGTGCCTCGGCGGTGGATGTTATCGTGCTGACGTGCTGCTTTCGCTATAGCGGCCAGTGTAGACAAGAAGTTAGTGTTTGAGTCAATTAGTGACACATTTAATGAGGTCATTTGATTCAGTGTTTGAGTCAAGATTTTCCCCAATGGAGCAAGATAATACAGAGCCTTACATTGTTTATTAAAAACACAAAGAAATCAAATAATTTTTTAATAGACATTACGTAGTTTGTTGCTTTCACGAGTTTCTGAAGTGCTGATTTTCATCCTTTTCATGAAAGGTTGCGTAAAGGCTTGCATTTTAGTAGTAAAGCACATCAATAAAAAGAGGCAATGATCACTTAGAGAGGTGGGTGGGGGGGGGGTATTTTGTAAGTCCTGAAGAAATGTAGTAGATGCATTCCACTGGTGGTTAAAATCGTCCTTGTCCTCTTTCTTAGCTGCTGCATGACTTCCCAGATGAACTGCGAGCTGACATCGCCATGCACCTGAACAAAGACATCCTGCAGCTGCCTGTGTTCGAGCGAGCCAGCAGAGGGTGTCTGCGCTCCCTCTCCCTGCACATCAAGACTTCTTTCTGTGCGCCCGGGGAATACCTCATACGCCACGGAGATGCACTACAAGCAGACTATTTTGTCTGCTCTGGCTCCCTGGAGGTTCTGAAAGATGGCATGGTCCTGGCCATCCTGGGTCAGTGTGCACCAAGGTGTTAAACATTTCCTCTCTTATTCATTCTGCACCTTTCAGATTGTTTCAATTGACGATCCCTACAGGCAAAGGTGACCTTATTGGGGCTGATCTCCCGGAACACGACCAGGTGATCAAGACCAATGCAGATGTGAAGGCGCTGACCTACTGTGACTTGCAGTACATCAGTGTTAAGGCTTTGAGGGAGGTCCTTGGGCTGTACCCCGAGTACGGCAGCCGGTTCAGCTCCGACATCCATCACAACCTCACCTACAACCTGAGAGAGGGCAGTGAACCTGACGTAAGGCATTTGTTCTCACATTTAAAGAGTGGAAAACACAGTGTTTCATTTCTTTGCTCCCGCTCATTAACAACAACATAATATACTTTGCCACCAAATACAGAATGTGTGTGTAATACCGTGTTAATTTTGACTTGAATATCTCTAGGGAGTATCAAAATGTCCATGGTCTTCCAGGCTGCCTCAGGTATGTGTGCCTCACTGAGGTAATTACTTCAGCCGTCATCTGCTTCATGCATCTGGCAATCAGTTACAGATACACAATCTGTGTTTACATCCTACGGCATGAATGTGCTTCACTGAAAACGTCGAACTGTTGTGGTAAATGTGGTAAAAAGGATGCTGCTCAGTGCAGTGATGGAAACAGCCTATACCGTATATGGACTACATAGACGAGACCAATTAGGTAATCAAGAGATTAAAATTTAAGGTAAAATTAAGTGTACAAGTTAACTAAAGGATTCTGCAAGAGGAGCCTAAAATATGCCAGCATGGCACTGTAAGAATCAATAAGACAACACTTTTAAATCAATAAGAGGCAAAGAAGACTTTGCTACATTTGTCGATTCAAGTTTGTGTGCTCACAAAAACAGAAACTTAACCTTGCACACTGACAAAAAATAGAAATGACAACAATATCTAAACGTCACTTACAATGCAAGGCTGTAGCTGTTTCTTTTATATTTTGGGTTTCTCGTCTGTTGCAGAGGAGAAGGCTCTGCATTTACATTTTGATTTTTGCACTCTCTGAACATGCAAATTTGTGTTATTTTACCATAATTGAAATTAAATTGGCCTCATGGTGGGATTCCTTACATCAAATGGAATGCTACTCTATTGTATGTGTAATCCCTAATCTGATATGATGGGTATATAGTTAAAGCAAACACACAAACTAAATATTTTAGATCTTGCAGCTTCAATTCATTACCACAAATCAGAGAAAACATCTAACTTTCCATCCATCGTCTCCTCAGGGCCGTACTTCTATGGACCATAAACTGCCCTATATTGTTGAGGCAGATGAAGATTCCGAACGTGGAGAAGACATGAGACTCTCTCAGCAGAGGAGAGTGCCTCTGTTACAAGGATTAGGCAGCCCTGTTCGTCAGCCCTGCCTCAGCACCCTGTTAGGAGAGGAGCTCCGCCACATCAACGCACTCCGCATCTGTCGGTCACCCGTTCAGGGCGGCAGAGGCCACAGCCCCACTCCTCAGCCATTCGCCAATCAGGAGCTCTCACTTTCTGCTTTGCCCAGTGTTATCAGTGACCCAAACTTGAACCATCGGCCTGCCAATCTGCTCATGCCATCCTTGTCTTGTGTTAGTCCATTGGACCTTAGCCCCAGGTAACCACTTCATCCTGCTTTACCCAAATATGATTCGGTAATCTGTTTGCAAATATTTAAAATGACGTAACCCTGATTTGTGTCTCTGTTAGGGTCGTGGATGGAATTGAGGACAATGGTCACACATTTCAATTTAATGTAGAGCAGAGCGAGACAAAGTCTAATGTAACAGGTAAAGTCTCTCGGGCTGCACGGTGGATGAAACATGAAATATATGGGATTGGGGCAGCAAAAATATGAATTAAAAACACTACAGGAACAAATCCTTAACTCTAAATTATGTATGATCGAATACATGAGGGGAAATGTCAGATTTTTACACTTTGCGACTCATTTTTTGGTCTATATTCAAGCAGTAGCTATAATCCTACTCATTTGGGGTTATAATATATATTATATCGTGCATATAGAGGGTTATCTCAGATCAACTGTATGGTATAGCTCTGTTTTTTCATCCCTTTTCAGACCGGTTCCAGGTGAGTGCGAACCTGATTCTGGAGACGGAGGAAGTGAGACAGAACATCAGCAAACTGAACAAAGAGGTATGGTAAATATTAGACCCAACACATTAATATGAAAATAGAAAATGAAAATGATATCAATGCATTCATTTTTGGTTTATAAAATAGTGTTAGATACACTGTTAGAAGTTTTAACTGCTATAATAATTTTCCTCACCGTTTTTTTGTCATTCAGGAGTTACATAAAATGCTTAACAGACAGATATGTTCAACAGCCAACTTTGATTTTTTTTTTGTCTCAGGTGGGCAACTTGAACCAAGAAGTATCCAACCTGGCCAAAGAGCTCCACGACATAATGCATTTCCTCCAGTCTCATATGGCCATGCTCCATACCCCTCCAGTCTCCTCGTACTCCTGTGGCATACAGATGGTTCCCAGTCCTAGTGTGACATCTTCCAGCAACTGGCAGCCCCACGCCCCTTTAAATATCGCCACGGGTCTGCACCTCCATCATGAAACAATTAGCCATCCTGCCAGAAATGTGTGGGGCTGCAGTGGGATGCCCACCCAGGGCAGTAGTCCCACCTTGCTGCACTCTTCAAGCCCTGCGTCATCCTGTTTAGGCCTGTGCTGCTCTGAGCGAGAAGGGGCCGCAGCCCATAGGTTACAGTGCCAGTGTGGCCCCTTCCGAACCTCGAGAACAACTCCCAACTCTCCCTACATGACCCACTCGCATGCCCGGGGAGGTGCATCCCTCCTGGGCCTCAGCTCTGCCTTCAGCAGCATCCCAGTGGTTTGTCACGCCCCACATGTGCCGTACAATGCCTCTATTCCCACAATGAGCAACTCTCACCCTCTCTGTTCCCCAGTAAATTCTGCCTACGCTCATCCATCTCTGAGTGTTCAACCCAACTCTGCTCCCACACATAATCAGACCAACTCCCAGACACCCATCCATTCCTCCGTCACTTACTCTGGCCAGCCGCAGTATCGCACTGCCTTCAGCCCCCTCACCCCTTCAGCAGTCCACACTTCAACATGCATAGCACACAACCAGAGCCAACAGGGCTCTATCAATGCCCCCAGGCAAAATGACCCCGTAGGATGCAGCCCTGTCCACACACAGGACCTTGCATGTTCGCTGCTGAGCCAGGTGACAGATAGAGACTGTAGAGCTTCACTGTATCAAGAGAGGACAGACAGTCTTGAATCTCAGAATACGAGCAGCAATAGTCCAACTGTAGAAGTTCAATCACCTCGCTTGGATGTGGAGGGAATGCAAAGCCCACAGTGATGACCTCAGTGTCTTGTTGTGATGGATAATGCACAGCGGCCTGCTCATTATTGTGAAATAAACCACGACCGGCTGAGCAGGTCATGCGAAATAACACGCACACTGTGTATTAGCCTGCTTTTCACACAGATACTACAAGAATTAATATTTTGACTCAACATATATGATTTAAAACTGATTTTATTGCTGCTAAAAAAATAGTCCTTTGCTGTGCACGGACATCAGAGCTGCGTTCATAGCAGCGGTCTGCTAATAACAGACCATATCGCCCCTTAACTTACCAATCAGAGTCGATCAGGCTATTCAACAAAGCTGTGTAATAATGGATGATAATGATGACTTAATTGTACCTTCAAAATGGCAATCTCAGAGATTTTCATTAAAGTCAATGTCTGTTAAGACACTATCCATCGCTAAAGGAAGTAGCACATTGGTAATTGAGCCTATGGCCCACTGATGAAAGTATTGCAATTTTTATATATTTGCAGTATATTAAAAACTGTGTCTGCGGTGACATTTCTGGAAAAAATACCGTATTGCAGTTTTTTCTCCGTTGTATACACCCACAAAAAAAACAATTCTGAAAAATTGAAGCTCATTTATCAGCAAAGACAATTTCATAGTTTTCACTCAAATAGAAGAAATCTGCCACTTTAAAGACTTTTGGTGTACAGTTTCCATTGAGTAATGCTCCCTGCCCAAATGCACAAACAACTGCTGAAGTTTTACTGCCACAACAGAATAAAAGATTTTGTAAATCATTTTGTATTCCTGTTTTATATATGACAATGTTAACCAACATGTGCACCACTCTCTTTCTCTCTTTAGCGTCCAACACAGGATTATTTGGATATTTACAAAAGCAAGTTATCATGTACACTGAAAAGCATCAGCACGAGGGAGATTTTCTGCATACATGTTTACTGCTGTCATCACAGCAAGTATATAATTCAGTTTACATTGTTATGAGCAACTGTACGAGTGTGCAGCGCCGCTCAGTGGTGAGAGGGGGTTACAACTACAAAAGGCTGACATTTCGTCATGCACAGAATATGATAGTCCTCTAATTGTTCACCCTGAAACTGAGATAAAAGTGTGACAAACATAAAGGAGTACAACTGTGCAGTTGATGGGTAAAAATTACAATATTGTGCATTGTATATTTGCACTAGGGGGTTATTTTTATTATATGTTTTCTTTATTTTTTATTTTAGTCTTCATACAAGAAAAAAAACACGCACAAGACCAAAGTCCCACTATGGGCATTGCCACACTGTGATACATTTAATTTTAATATAGTTTCATTGGTAGCATGATTTTAATTTATTTTTTGATTTAAATTTTTTCATGCAGATTGTTACATGCATCCTTCTGAGTAAAGTCCTTCTGGGCAATATATCTCAGTCACATATGTGACATATATCAGTTGCATAAATATATATTTGATTTGGGTGAACCAGAATTCAAGCAAGATAAGTTCATTAGACCATGTGCCGCTTACTGATTCAAGCCTTGACCTCATCGTTCCTTAGGGAGTGACAGTTCTGATACTTCTACTTCTTTTTGCGCATTAATAATGATTAACAGTTCACTTCAACTTTTATAATGTTTAGGGCATAATAAAAACACTCAAACACACTAACACACCCTCCCCAGTGCGTCATACACTTGTGGTCAGCCTCACTAACGACAACAGCTAATTTTAATTGCTTTATATACTGGTAATATTTGATGAGTTGATTTATACTTTGTATTAATCATCTAAATCTGCAAAGCAACCAGTAACTAATGTTGGCAAATACATGCAGCGGAGTAAAAAACAAAGTGGCATAATATGGAAATGCTAAAATTGTAGTAAAGTACCGTAATAAACGTACTTTGTTCCATTCCACCAATAATCCAATTAAACTTGACAGTATTTTAGCTCTGGTGCTTTGCAGAGTTCAGGTTTTATCTTAAACATACATTGGGTAAATGATTAAGTTTAAATCAAGCATTCATGACATACTGCTGACTGATGCTATATTTGTACATTTGAAATCTGACTAAAAGGCCCTGTAGTGCAGAAAGTGGTGTCTCGTGCAGACAGCTGTTGTAATTGGTCAAACAGCCGCTGACTAAAAGTGGGACGTTCCCGGAAAAATCGCTAACCGGAAGGGAAGGCCAGAGCCTCAGCAGAAGAAGAAGACAGCCGCCGCCGATGAGACCAGCGACAGAAGAAAAAGTATTGTAAGTCAAACAACTTGAAATGATTGAAGATTGTGGTAAAGATGGACACTGAACGCATGTTGCGCTTTCTTTGTCGACGAGCTGTTCACCGTGTTTAGACACGCGCTGTCACATTTTGGTCAACCGATCAGCCAAGTCCGGGTTCAGTCGACACGTCCATCAGACGGGCTCGAGACAGGCTACGAGTCTCTAGCCCCGAGAGACCACGTAACGGGTCCAAAGAGCCTCGGCACAAACATCGCCGAGCAGAATATGACACAGGTTTTATTCCAGCTGCAGACACGACAACACGGCACATTACCAGAGTTTGTAAAAATGTCAAACAGCTGACGACGTGTGACGGAGAAAAGGAAAGTTGACTAATGACGTTATCGCTGCTAACCTAGCTAAAGCTATCAAGTTGTCGTTTCCACAGTTTAGCACAAACGCTTGTTGTCTGTTGTCGACAATAGACGTTAGCAAGCTAATGCTACGCAAATTAACGCTGAATTGTCAATATCAGACGTTAGCTATGCGACGTTAGTCACTAAGCTGCTTAGCACGAGTAACGTTAACAGTCAGTGCCCACGTTATTGATGGCGGTCGCTTTATTGTGACCGGCTTTCATAGCTAACGTCAACTATAACGTCATATCTTACCATCCACCATAGCCACGTTACTGTAGTAACAGCGAGCCTGTCCACCACATATCACTCCGCTTTAGACTTTAGAGTTGTACATGTAGTTCCATTGTAACCACGAATGACAACATTGGTGGCATGCACTAGCTTTAGTGGGGTAGTGCACTGCTATGCTCACTTCACTTTTTCCTTGAAGCCTTTAACTTGCGCACTCATCTGAGGTTTAATAGGTTTCAGTTTCTCACACTCTGGCCACTAAATGCCAGCTAGCTTGTACATTCACTCATTCAGTAGAGATGTCATTACTGCTGACCGCATTTGTCTTGTAATTGTGCCAGTTTAACATTGTTGTGTGAAGGTGCGTCTCCTTGCATTTAACAGCAAATGCGTTTCCACATGTTTTGTATGGTCTTGGCTCCTTTTGTTTATGGCAGAATAAGGGGAACTTAGCGTGGACCTTTGAGACGGAGAAGAGTTACTATTACTTTGCTCGAGTTCTTGTCGGTTTTATGAGGTATGGACCTTGTCCTTCTCAAGTGGTGACACATCTTGACAAACCAGCTCTGAAAGAAGCCCTGTGACCTAGTCCCCCCCCCGCATCAGTATACATAATATTTGGGTTTTGGTTTATGTGAGGACACCCCTCACTATGTTTCAGCCCTGTCTAAAGTTGTCGGTCGGTACTGTTGAGCTGATAGCTAGGGCCTAGTAATGTGCTCTATTTTCCCTAAAGTGTGTTATAGTCGTACTATGTGTATTTAGGCCGGTGGTGCTGAGCTGCCATCAACAACCTACATTTGTTATACCTGCAGGAAGGAGCAAATGTTGAAATGAAGCGCCTGTTTTCATGATTCACTAAAAACCTACTTGGAGAGAAACATCAAAGAGGAAGGGGACCACGGCTCTTTTAGACAACGAGAAGAACTTGAAAGACCATTTCTTGGAATGCTTTCACAGGTGCAGATGGGATTTTGTTTGAATTTCAACTAGACTGCACTTTGGTTTTAATGCATGAAGGAAGAATTTGTCAGATGTTTTTTTTTTTTTTTTTCTTGTGTCTTTACAAATGCCATGTTTAGAAAAACTGCAAGACTCAGCATTTATTATAAGATGCATCTCATATAGTGAGCAATTATGTAACTTGGTACCTTTTTTAATATTTAACTGCTTCAGTTGATAAACTTTATTAGTTTAGATTTTTTTTTGTGTGTGTGCAGGTTTTGACTGATGGTTAGCTTTATTTCCCTGTTTGGGTACAGAGCGGTTTAAGCTCATGAGAAAAGGAAGTGCCTGTGATTTCCTACTGGCCTTGCTAAAGTGCTAGCGATGAGTATCACGTTTGCTTTTCCTGTGTTACGTCCCCCGTTTCCCTGTCACTGTTTCCGAGGCCGTCCTCTGTTAGAAAGCTGAGCTGTCGAAGGCCTTTACCTTGGATCAACACCACTTCCTGTTTCATTAGAGCGCTCAAGGATTGTTCTGCATTTGTGTCTGTTGTTGATGCCTTGGAGCAAAAAAATGTTGCGTATGAAATATTGTCTTAGGTCTTGAATGCACGGCTTCATTACATGGGATTTTGCCACTTCTAGGTTAAAGTCTGGCCATTTGACATACTAGACAAAAGGAGGAGGGTGATGCAACCCTCCCCCATATCAGACACCACCAGTTCTTCTGGGACCCCACCCTTCAAATGAAGTGAGCAGCACAAGTCCCGTCTTGTGTTCGTGAAACTGGTATAGTGATGTTGTTTGACACTTAAATGGAATGTGTGAGTGACTGAGTTCAGATTTTCTCATTACATGATTATGATTTGAATAACATGGCCATGATTTGGCTCCGTGTATCTATACATCTGTTTAATTTGTGCACATGTTCTCATATTTAGGCGTTCGATGCCCCCGCTAAGTGCTTAGATGTCACGCTGGCAGCAGAGCATACAGGAGGCCGCGATGAATATTTCACAGGCTCTCCCTCTAGTCTGCTCCCCCCCCCCCCCC